TGGTGAGCTTCTTGCTTTTAGGCCCCTGATATAAATATGTTAGGCCACTTGACACTATACCTAGCTCTCTGAGACTCTGGACTTAAATTTTTGTCTCTTCAACTTAGTGAGAGTAACTAGCCTCTGGCAGGGTTCTCTTTCTTTGTGAGTTGATTTGAAAATTGTCCCCAAGTGGAAAGATGAAGAAAGTCATAGGATTATCTGGATTATTTTCCTGTATTTGGTTCACAGTCTTCACTTTCTGTTTTTCCCAATGTTTGGAAACACTAGTTTCAATATACTATTGTTGACTAACATGCACAAATCATTTTTTTTTATTATTTTACAAAATGCTCCATACAAGTTAATCTTTCATGATGAGATTAAAAGTTTCATCCATAATTTCAACACTACATTTCAATTTTTATATTTGTATTTTTTTTACATTTATTTTTTGTCTCATCCTGAACTACAGGACCCCAAAATGTGGAAATCTTTTTATTGATTCAATGTTAAGCTCTCTGAAATCCTGCAGTCTCCAAGGAGATGACATTGACTGATTCCTAAAGAATTTGGTGAATGAAGATGACAATAAGAACCTGTCCCCTTATTTCATATCCTTCCTTACCAGCTAATGATAATAATAATAAGAGATTTCCTTTAACAAACAGACATGGTGCTGCCAGTATTAAAATCTTTAGTGGCTTATCTTTAGGACACAGGGAAAACATTGACATTCTTCCTTGATGTGCTTGACAGAAATGAAAAGGAGATAGATGTGTCATATGTGAAAATAAAGGACCCAGAGGATGAAGATGAACAATGAACTAACAACATGGTGTCAGCGACGAACAGTCTGTAAAGAGCAATGGTGGAAGGCCACAAGAAAAGTTCAGTTCATCAAAACTGAGAAAGAATCAGGTAACTTTCCCCAAGCATCTGCCAAAATACTCCAATTGACGGATGACAATGAAAGGCAGAAAAGAAAAGTCAAACAAGGAAGGAGCAAAGGATACTTCAAAGCCAGAAGCTGCTTAAGGCTTGTTGAAAGCTCACAAAAAATATGTACTTTGAAAAGTATTTGCGTTTGTCAGTTTTTCATAGCTTTGATCAAAATACCTGACCAGAGGAGGAAAGTTCATTGTGGACTTATGGCTGCAGAGGTTCCGTCCATGGTTGACTGATTCCATGAATCTGGGCCTGAAGTGAGGCAGAGCATCATGGCCAGAGGAGGTGGTGGAGAAGAGCAGCTCAGCTCACAGACTGTCAGGAAGCAGAGAGAGAGGGGGTAAGGGGCCAAGGCAAACTCAGAGTCCTCCAGGCCTCACTGATCCACCTCCTCCAGCCATGGCATCTGGCTAGAGCTACCTGGCAGTTAGTCCATTCAAACCAGGAAGGACCATTAGGCTAGAGCTCTCACAGTGCAATCATTTCACCTTTGAATATTCCCACATTAACTCAAGAGCTTTTGAGGGACCCCTTATATACAACTGTAACTTTTTATCCCTGGTCCCCAAAAGCCTATGCCCATCTCACAACACAAAATGCATTAGTCCATCTCCAAGAGTCTCCACAGTGTTACTAGTTCCAGTATTTCCCCAAAGTCCAAGTGCAAAGTCTTATTTGAGACTCAGGGAAGCTCATGGCTGTGAGTCCCTGTAATGGTCAAGAGCAAATTACATCAACCCAAGATACAATGGCCCAGAGTAAACGTGCCCGTTCCAAATGGGAGGAATAGGGGCTGAGAAAGAAGGGATGGGACCAACACAAATCTTGAAACCCAGCTGGGCAATCAAGTCCTGCAGTTTCACCTTTGCATCTTGGGCACAAGGGACTGAGATGAGACATCCAAATGGCTCAGCCTGCTGTGCCCCTTTGACTTTGCCTATAGCAGTGCTTGCGGCCTCTCTCAGCCTGGCTCTCTCCACAGCCCACAGCTTTTCTCCCCTGCATCATTCTTCTGTGATGTTGTACCTCATCTCAGGCCCCTAACAATGGAATAGTCAGAGTGTGGAGCGAACCTCTGAAACCATGAGCTCAAAATATACTTTTCTTTGTCTAAGTTGTTCCTGTTAGTTATTGTAGTCACAGAGACAAAGAGCTGACCAACACAGCCTTCAAATAACTATTTTTTGAGAAAATTCAATTTCTTCTCTGGTTACTTAATACTTTAGTAACGTAATGGATTCACTGATTCTGGACTGGATCACTAGAAGTTCCTGGATGCCCTTTGAACATTTTTTGTCTTTTTGCAGAAACTAAATGCCAATGTTTGGTTTTTACAAAGAGGGAAGCAAGCAAGTGTGGTGCTCACTGTTCATAATTCTCCTGTTTTGAGTTAAGTGGACTGGACATCAGAGACCAGCTATTCATCAAAGAGATCCTGGGAAGTTGGCCGTTTTCATTTTGGTTGGTTTGTATTTCCTTGGTTTATTTATTATTTAATTTTTAGTGCCTGCACTTCTGAAAAATTCTAAAGTCATGTTGCTAGATAATATTTTGACATTTTAGAACATGCTTTTATTTCTTGTATTTTCTTTTCCTTCCCTTTATTCATGAAAGCTAACTATACATTTCTCTTTGCTTCAGGGGAAGATTGTGGCAGGAGAGAAAACAGAGATAGCTTCCCAGTCATTTTGTTATTTTTTTCAAGTGCTTCTCAAAGCAGTGAACATGGGACATAATGGCATGGACAGAAAGTCTTGAAGAAACAGGAAGTGGGAAACAATTTTTGCAGACTAGTTTGGTTTTTGTAGTTGGGAAAGAGATGTTTTGGGTTCTAAGAACAGAAGGAGGCTGTCTCCCTTATCTCCAACTGGGAGATCCTAGAGAGAATGACTATATGGTATGACTGGCCAGCAGGTGATGGAGAGCCTTCCCCAGACAACTAGACTCATACTTGTGGCACAGAAACTCCAGAAAGAACACTGAGACTGAAGATGCTGTATGAGAAGTAACGTGAACACTTCACCTGTAGTCTGTATGGCGTCATGAATGAGAGCCATAGGCCAAACTATGAGAGTTAGAAGTCTAGGGACTGGATTGGGAGAAGAAAGTAGAAGCTAAAGTTACATTTTTCCCACCGTATGTACCATGAACTCAGAATTAGAAATTAGGTTACATCGCGGGGTGGCCAGCTCCTCACCAGAGAATTCATGACTGTTTGGAGGGATAAGCCTCTAAGAAATTAAAGTCCAGAATAATTCATGAAGAACGAAAGACAAAGAGTCACAAAAGATGGTTTTAAAGATGGAGCCCTGATAGGTCCAGTCCCCATGGGAGCTGGAGCTTGAAAACTAGAAAATTGCTCCTTTGTTTTATTAGGGGGGACATCAAAGGCAAGGTAAGGTTTCAGGGATGGGGTTTGCTTTATGGTGTCTTGCAGTCAGCAGGTTGATCAGCATCTTGGCAGGTCACATCCATCTCAGAGGTAATGTGTGGCTACAGCAGGTCACCCCATCTCTGGTGCTGTGTGGGACCAGGCAGAGCAGAATCGGGCTCACAATGTGTCTGGGAAGTCTTTCATGGAGGAAATGTCCACCGAAGTCCCCAAACCAGATTCTCCTATTCACTAGGCTGTGATGTGCGACAGTCCACACATAGCCCACTGACAGCTCTCAACCAGGTTAACTGATGGAAAATAAATTAACCCTTCTTGCACATTCAACTTTTGATCTAATATTTATTTTCATTACCTGTGGGATTTTTGTGGGATTGCTAAACATCATATTACAATATATGATTGGATAAATTAAAACCCCTAACACTGGAGCCAGTGTGCTTTGAGACAATTGCTGTGTTTGTGTGGGACTTATTTGAAGTCTTGAGATGGATTTAGGATTTAATGCTGAATCCTGAAACTCCTAGGGCCTCTAATAATCTCAGTTTGAGAGATGACAATAGAAGGAATTCACAGCTAAGAAGTGGACATACAGGAGTTTACAGATGGGAGAAACAGAGGATCCAGGCAGCCTTGTTAGAACTTTCTGAGATTAATTTCTGTTAGTTACAGGAAAATAACTAGAAAGGGAGGAAAGTGGGAAGTTAAACATTGGGCCTGTATCTATAGATTCTGCATTTCATCAATAGTACCACAGCATGGTCCAATCAGCTTGGTGAGACTAGGGCTCTACCCTGGAGAAATTTCCACTCAAAAGTGTGAATTTGACTCCTAATGAACATTTTTTAGTGTTTGAAAATTTACATGTTTTGTGCTGTGTTTCAGAATTGAAAGGACCAAAGGCCATAAAGGAGAAGTGGGAAGTTGAGTTGGTTTCTTACCACCATGTTCAAAGGGAACCTGACCCAGATTATGTAGTTTTTGCGGCCTAATCCTAAACAAGGTGGTGAGTGGGTATAGAAGTGTGACAGTTGAAGTTTCCTGGTGACCTTGGGGATACAGGAGAAACACCCTTGTTTTGGACTGAGAGAAGCTGTGGAGGCAGAGGGACCCACAGCCCCGCCTCCCCGCAGTGGGAGAAGCAGAGATGAACTCAATCCTTCCACCAACGTTGTGACTGTATGCCTAGAAAAACCACACAAACCTGTTTGAAAGAATATTTGCTGGAATTTATAAGGGTATTTATTCAAGTAGAAAAGATAAACATGTGCAATTAAAGATATTTTCCTTTTTAACTACAACCAACTAGAACTAGAAATGGGAGTAAATAGTGCATTCAGAATTGAAAAAAGAACACTTCATAATATATTTCATATGAATAGTACAGATACATATAAAAATGATTTAGTTCTCTGAAGGATGAAAAAAATGTTTGAGTTAGTGAAAAGATGTACTCTATTCTTGGGTTAGAACACTTAATATAATAAAATATTAATTAGCTCCCCAATTTTTCAGTTAAATGACATTTAGGCAGCATTAAAATGGCTCCAAATATGAAAAAATTTTAATGATGGGGTCAGAGTATCTGCCATTCAATATCCTAAATCCAGAGGAAACTTTATCAAAACATTTTGGTAATAAGATAGAAATGGACAAATAGAAGAATTGAGGAGTAAAATATAATACTGAGGAATAGATCTGACCCACTCATTGGCATATATCCAAAAAGATCTAAGGTCATCCCATGACAGGGACACAGCCACATCAAAGTTTACAGCAGCACAATCCACACTAGCCAGGTTGAGGAACCAGCCTAGATGCCTCTCAGCAGATGAATGGATTAAGAAAATGCGATATATGCACACAGTGGAGCTTTACTCACTGTAAAGAGGAATGAAGTTCTGGTATTTGCCAGTAAATGAATGGAACCGGAGAGGATCAGGCTAAATGAAATAATCCAGATCCATAGAGTCAGGGGTTAACTGTTCTCTGTCATATGCAGACTAAAATAAGGGGAAAAAGGGAATGCAGATCCTATGAAAACAGAAGGAAGAAAAGTGAGTAGAGATAGGGGATGGAGGAGAAGGAGGGAGGAGGGACAGAAACTGTGAAGAATGGTGGAATGAAACTCACCCAGCTCTCCTGTGTACACGAGGGAGTATACCAGAGTGATTTTCACCTTTCTGTACCCACCTATAATTCACTAATAAAAATCTATAATAGATGGAAGACCAGTAGAGTAGAGGAGGGGGAGCAGGGGATGAAGAGCAGAGGTAAAGGGGAAATACTGGGGACTGATTTGCAGCAAATTATACTCCATGTTTGTATAATTATGTCAAAATAAACCCCAATATTATGTATGATAATAATTCAGTAGTAAAAAGATTAGAAAAGAAATGGATCTTGACACAGTGAGAATTAATCTGTATATTAGAGGTTATTTCATATAACTGCAAAGAATAATGAACGGCTGAGCAGTATCCAGCTAGAAAATGAAGCAATGTTGGAAGCGCGGTCCACATGGAGCTGCCCTGTACCTCCCTCCGCCGTGATTTCATTGTATATTCTGAGGCCCTGCAGAAAGCGTCTTTGAAGAGGTCATGGCAAGGTCAGGACTTTCCCTCTGGTCTTGGCCAATCCTCTAATGGCATCGCTGGACTGTGTTTACTCTTGACTTTTACAGGGAATGTTTCTTGATGATTTGGGCTGACAAGCTTTGTAGAAGCTGATATGAAGGAGAACATTGTGGATTATGTCCAACTAGAGAAGTATTTGGAGCAGGGCCACCGGGAGAGCTTGGAGGAGAGAAAAGCACTGGGAAGGCGCCCTTTGCCCTCAATACACACCACCAGATACCAGCTTCACCCAGGAGGGCAGTCGGTTCCAAGAAAGCAAATTCTCTAACTTTATGGAAATGCACGTGGTCCACACGATAAGGACAAACAAAATTATTTTCTGGGCACAGCAAGAATTTATACATGGAATAGAAGCACATGTAAGAAACTGGACTTCAAAATGACTGCCCAGAATTGAATGAAAGTTTTGCCACTTACTAGGCATATGATTTTGGATAAAGCCTTCAAGTGCTAAATTCTTCACCTGTGAGTTAGGAACGATTATAGCTACTATGTCATAGAATTACAACAAGAATTAAATGTGATAATCCATGACAGTGGTCACTGAGAAGCATGACTATTGATATCTAAAATTTTATGATCAAGTTAAAAAAGGCAACATTGGTTAATTCCATGGAAAAGGTAAAAAATATTTTTAGTAATTAGAATATATTTAAAATGATGATAACCTAACTCATTGAAATGCCTCCACCCCATTCCTACTCCTCTCTTTGTTCCCTGGTTGGCTGGTGCTTGGGAGCAAATAATAGCTTTCACAATTCATCTGGGCAGCTCTTTTCTAAGAATGTTGATGACTGAAAATACAGCACTTAAACCTAAGAGCTTAATGACAAATGCCTTTATGATTCACACGCATGGAACTCTTCTTCTGTGAAGCTGCATACATATCCTTCAACAGCTTGTTTTCAACAATGTGTGGCAGAAAATTTGTTGCAGACACAGCCAACACTGCATCTGGAGAGAAAAACGTGAAGAAGCCAAAGAGAAAAATCACATCCTGAAGATAAAAGAAAAGAAAGGGGAAAACACTTGTACTGCCGTCCCCAACCTGCTCGGGCAGCTGAACTTAGGGTCGCTCCTGTGAATTTGCAGGGACACCAAATAAAACACCGACACAAATCACCTTTATGCAAGCTTTAGGACGGCTTCTCCACTCTCGGCCTCAGGGTCCCCAAAAGGGAGAGCGAGAGAAAGTCGCGAGAGAGAGGGAGCACGTTCAGAAGTGGGCTTTTATGGGTGGAGGACGCTTGTTCTTAGAAAGTTTCATCCAAAAAAGGCCGCAAGGGGCAGGGTTACAATGGACAGGTGAGTGTAACTCAACCCCAGGGGTCACGCCTACACCTGAACACACACAAGCTGGGCAACAGCCAAGTCACCATGTAATGACTGGCCAGAGCCTCCTCTTCAGGACTGGAGGGTGTGGGTCATTCAGAGTGGCTCCCCACATTGTCCTCTTTATGAAACGCATTGAGACCAACTTTTGAGCTTTCTAAAGTGTTTATTTTAATCTGAGGGCAAATGAAATGTAGGTCCTATGAAAATGTCCTTTAAATTTAAGTGATAGGTTAACATACTATATTGGTTCTTGATTTAACGTAGGTTGAATATTTTGAGATGCATTTATTAACCAAAATATTGTTTTTATGTGAACACTTTTCTTGCCTTCTACCATTTTCCATTGGGTTGCATGTTAGTCTTATTTATTTCAGTTGTTTCAACTCTTTTATGTTGTTTATCCACCTTATTTTTATTCATTTTTAGAAGCTCTTTACATAGTAAGGAAATCATTGCTTTTATGTAAAGAGATTTTAATGTTATGTAGTTCAAATAATGTCATGGCAGTTTCTAAAATAAAAGTCAGGGCAGCATCCGTATGTTGTTAAGGTCTGTAAAACAATCTTTTGTGTGTGTTTACTATGTATGCTTTTTAAATAAAATCATCAATATCCCCAAATAAGTACTTATACCTAACTAAAAATAGAGAAAACAATAAGTTTTATTTCCATTAAAATAATCAAAATTAAACTTTCTTCTACTTTTACAAAGTATGAAGTATGGAGACTAAACACCCACCAAACTGACATGTGATTGTATACAATAATAAAATATTAATTTATAAAAAAGAAAATGGCCAGGAATAGTGGAAAATGCCTATAATCCCAGCGGCTTGGGAGGCTGAGACAGGAGGATCAAGAGTTCTAAGCCAGCCTTAGCAAAAGCCAGGTGCTAAGCAACTCAGTAAGACCCTGTCTCTAAATAAAATATGAAACAGTGCTGGGGATGTGGCTCAGTGGTTGAGTGCCCCTGAGTTCAATCCCTGGTACCAAAACAAAACAAAAACAAAACAACATCAACAACAAGAACAACAAGAACTAAAAAAGAAGCAATATAGGAACGCTTACATTATAGTGTAAATGTAAGTAATTCCAGATGTATTAAAGACTTGAAAGTTCCAAGTACACATATAATACACACATTCCAAAATAGGAACTCAGAACCTATTCTATAAAATTTATAAATGTATTTTTAAAAAATGCAAAAATGAAAAGCAATAGATGGTATAACTCAACTATAGTTTGGGCAAAAATATCTATATGGGAAATGACAGTGCTAGTTAATCTTATCAGTGACATGGTTTCTTTCAAACTTATAAGACAAAATGCAAACTGAAAACAAGAAATGGACAAAGAATGAAAAGATAACTCATGCAGAAAAATTCCAAATGGCTAATAAACATAAGGTAAGATGATCATCCTCATTAGCAGTCATAGTATTTTGAAAATTAAAATGTTAAGTGGGATGTTCATTTTAATTTATTAAATTGACAATACTGAAGAGGGACAATACATGGCTTTTTAAACAGGACTTTGGAAAGCTATTTGGCAAAATTCTCTGATCCCTCAGATGGAAAATTGTATATTTGGAAACACATCATATTGAAGGTAAAGCACCAGGATTTGAGGATATATGTCCAAAGATGAATGTTGCAACTCTTTGTGTATGCACGTATGCATGTGTTTTATAATGGCAAAAATAATGGAAATAGGCATTAATTTAGGACTAGGTGGTGTTTCTGCACCTAGTCCTAATTATATCAGAAACAGACCCAATAACAGGATCTTAAATATACTAAAGTTTCTCTTTAATAACAGGATCTTAAATATACTGAGTTTCTCTTTCATACACATAATGGCAGTCCAGAGGTGGTACTCAGAGGCTAGCTCCGTGGGCTTTCTAGGGAGCCAGGCTTCTTCAAGCTCAGTGCTCTGTTAGTTACAGTTATGCCTCAACATGAAGTTTAATCCATCATGAGGGCTTCTGCTATCATGAAAGATCATTCCATTTCCACTTTTAATGTGAGTTATTAGAAGCGGGACACAAACAGCGCAAACATGCTTTTGGTCTGAAATAGTCATAGGCTAGTATCTATCTCAGGAGGGGCTGGGATATATAATATTTAATTTGGTGATAATATGCTAATCCAAAAATGAGGTTTTATTTATATATTTTTTTTCCGTTTTAAAAATTTGTTCTAATTGGTTATACATGAAAATAGAATGCATTTTGACACATCGTACATAAATGGAAAATAGCTTCTCATTCTTCTGGTTGTACATGATGTGGAATCACACTCGTCATGTAATCATGTATGCACATAGGTAATAATGTCTGATTCATTCTACTATCATTCCTGTCCTGTACCCCTCCACTCCCTTCACTTCTCTCTGGCTAATCCAAAGTGCCTCCATTTTTCCCTAGTCCATTCACCCCTTATTGTAAAGAAGCAACCACATATCAGATAAAACATTTGTTCTTTGTTTTTTGGGATTTGCTTATTTAGCTTAGCATGATATTATATGGTTCCATGGCATTTACCTGAAAATGCCATAATTTCATTCTTCTTTAAGGCTGAATAGTATTCCAGTGTGTATATATACCACAGTTTCTTTATCCATTCATCTGTTGAAGGGCATCTAGGTTGGTTTCTATAGTTTACCTATTGTGAAATAAGCTGCTATTAACATTGGTGTGGCTGTGACACTGAAGTATACTGATTTTAAGTCCTTTGGTTACTAACCAGGGAGTGGGATAGCTAAGTCAAATGGTGGTTCCATTCCAAGTTGTCTGAGGAATCTCCATACTGCTTTCTATGACAGTCACAACACTCACAGTTTGCAGTTTGCAGTTCCACCAGCAATGCGTGAGTGTAACTTACGCCCAACATCCTCGCCAACATTTATTGTTACTTGTATTCTTAATATTTGCCATTGTGACTGGAGTGAGATAAAATCTTAGTTTTGAAAAAATGAATTTTATAACTAATGAATTTGGGGAGGCAACTAGCAGTCTCTGTTATCAGGCAAACCACAGGACAATGGGCAGCCATTGAAAGAAAATAGTGAGATTCATTAATATTGACGTGGTATTAATATTAATATTCATTAATATGGAATTCAGTTAAAAAAGAACAAATGATCTTAATAGATACTTCTCAAAAGAAGACATGTAAATGGTCCAAACTGTGCTCAACAACATGATCCATCAGAAAAATGCAAATAAAAATTATAACACAACCTCCTCTCAGAATGGCTACATCCAAAAACAAAGAAAAAAAGAAAGAAAGAAAGAAAGAAATGCTGGCAAGTTTGTTGAGGAAAATCGAACTCTTATTCACTGTGATGGAAATGTAAATTAGAATAGCTACTATAGAAAACAGTATGGCATTTCATCCAAACACTAAAACTAGATCTACCATATGATTTAGTTGTCCCATTCCGGGGTATATATCCAAAGGAAATGAAATAGACATACCAAAAAGTTATGTGCATACTCATGATTATTGCAGCAACACGCATAGTGGCTAACATGTGGAATTAGCCTATTTGACAATCAGTAGAAGAAAGGATGGGAAAATGTGCTACACATACAATGGAGTATTGTTCAACCATAAATAAGAATGGGATCCTGTCATTTGCAGTGAAATGGAAGGAACTGGAGGAAGTCACATGGAGCAAAACAAGCTCAGGTATAGAAAGACAAGTAATGCATATTCTCTTTCACAGGTGGAAAGTAAAATACGTTAACATGAAGGTAAAATACTGATTAGTAGAGGTTGGGAATGGTGTGTGTGTGGGGGAAGGGGCTGAATGGAGCTTGGATAGTCAGGGCATGCTGTTTGCATTTGTGATAGTATCATACTGAACTTCATTAATATGTATTATTAATACAGGTTAATACAACTTTTAAAACCAGAGATTATTTCTAGGTAACAAATTACTGCATTGTTGGGAGCTGCCCTGGATGCAGATGCCTTTAAGTCCTAATGCATAGGTTCTGAACAATTACTGCACTCAGTCTGGCAGGGTAGCACCAGGTCAAAGTAATGTGGGTGTTACTCCAGTTTGGATGACAGGGCGTGCCCCAGGAGTAGGCATCATCTGTCACCCCTGGGGGTTGAGTTATACTCACCTGTTCCTTTGTAATCCTACCCCTTTGCCCTTTTGAAGATAGAATGCATGGACCCTCCCCTTGTGTGTCCCCCATATAAGAATGAAAAATTCCAGTAGCTCTCTCTCTTTCCACGGATCCTTAAGGTCGAGAGCCATCTTGGATTTTGAAAAGGTACTTCTGTGTGTCTGTGTGCTTTCTTTTTCAGTTTTCTTAAGTTATTGGAATAGTCAGATTTTGTGAACCCAGCATTAGGTCGCCAGCTAGGATAGATGGTGATACTGCATCTCCCTGGTTTCAGAAGAAAGTTGTGGAAGTTGTAATAGCCAAAAAGTATCTGACTCTACCTACCTTTGGAAAAAAAAATATTTCCATAAGTCCAGATAGCCATAACTGGATCTGAGGCTATGCAGCTAGGAATTATTGATTAAAAAAAAACCAACAAAACAAAGCAAAACAAGAACAACCAAACCAAATAAAAACAAAAACAACCCACATTCTTGTCTTTAAATATGAGAGAATTTTGCACTAAAAGTTTGACATGCAGATAAATTTAATAGAACTCTTCAAGTTTTTAAATGGAGCTTGTAAATTTGGAGAATGAAGTTAGGTGTTGTACCATGATCCACACAACTGCTTTTCTTTTCACGTCTCTGCCCACGGTTTCCTTCCCATCCACTATTTGGGCTATTTCGAACTTTTATTTAATCACTTAGTCCTCCATTTGTTACACAGATAAATTTTCTGTGTTCTTTCGAACTGTTTTGGGACATTCCTTATAGTAAGGTAGGTGGGTTAGGGCGATCTCCGGGATCCCAGCTCAGAGTGAGGGGCAGATGCTTGTTCTCTAGGGACACAGGTGCATGGGAGGAAGGGAAGTATTCATGTGGTCAGATGGGAGGAAGTGGAGCCAGAGATATGATCCTTACGTGTGCTGTCCCTCCAGCTGATTGACAAGAGCACACAGCAAGAGACACACACAGGAATGTTTCTATAATGACAGGCTCTGCAGGTGCTGGGAGAAAGGTTTGCAAAGCAAGTTAGTGAGCAAGGGGTGCAGGTGGGGCTGGCCTAGTTCTCCTGCCTTTGCTCACAGTCTGGGAGGCTCAGAAGACTCCCCTGAGAAATTGACCTCAGAGCCTGAGGTCAGAGTGGTTATAACAGGAAGCTGGTGAGGGGAGCAGAGGGGACCAAGTTCCCCAAACTGAGTGAACTCTTTGTGCAGAGGCTTTTGGCAGGAAGATGCTGTGCATAGGAGAAAAACTGAAAGCGTATCATCATGAAGTGAGACTGAGGTGCAAGATGATATGTTCAAAGGTTGAGCAGGGGAGGGCCACGTGCTCTTGTGGGCCATGCCATTGAGTTTTGCTCTCCTACCTAAGACAGCTGTTTCCAGGCACTCGGCAAAACATTAGGGTGGTGATGAAGGTGGAAGGTGGAGAAAGAGAGCCATTTAAGAGCTATGTAAAGTGGAGCCTCGCTGGTAGTGGGTGGGTCAAAAGATGGGGGAGAGGGGTGTCAGGATGTGCTGAGGCTCTGACTGATTAAAGAAGGGATCACTGTCCAGGGGATCAGGACTCCAAGCCACTGTGTCTGTCACAATTTCTTGTTTTCATTGTGAGAGGTGGGTATTTGTCCCTCGGGGTTCACAGACACATTTGAATCTTATGTCTTGTCTTTAGAACAGAGGCTCATATTAGGAGAGGGAGGGAGCAGGAAGGCAGGACAGGAAGCCAAGTAGGTGGAGAAGGACAGGCAGGAGGGGTGAGGGGCGGAGGGCAATGCAGGGGTACTGGCATGACCAGGAATATTGCTGTTTGGGTTTCAGAGCATTGTGATCAAGTGATCTTTATACTGCACTATAATTGGTTTCTTATCTTTATACTGCACTATAATTCATTAAGTGTGTGATATCGTGTCTCTAAAATGTACACCGATTAATTGAAATTACTTCATTGCTTAAAACTACTTATGATCATGGGAGCTGGTGGAAAAAAGGGGCTGATTGATCTGTGCAAGCTTGCCATAAATGTTATCTGGGAAACACAATAAAGTGACATGCAAAAAAAAAAAAATGACATGGGATATGTGTACTCGGAAGAATCTTATTCAACCTAATGCAGTTCCCTCGATCTACTCTCACAAGGATGCGGGTCTGAGGAGGGGCCCCAAAAGAAAGTGACGCAGATCCTGAGGTTCCTTGATGTCAAGGCAAAATAGAGTTGAAGGACGGGTTGAAGGGAGGCACAGATTGACTTTATTTAATTTTAATTTAATTTTTTTTTTTTTAGTTTTCAGTGCACATAACATCTTTATTTTATTTTTATGTGGTGCTGAGGATCGAACCCAGCACTCCGCGCATGCCAGGTGAGCGCGTTACCGCTTGAGCCACACCCCCAGCCCTTGATTTTATTTTGAGAAAGAAAGCAGTACACGCTCTGACAGGGTAGAGTATAGGTGCTGGTGAAGAATGTGCTAGCTACATCTCAGCCAGGAGTATTTACATATGAAACATCTGTAGTACAGGGACATGATCTAAGAGGGTGGTTTCCTCCTGCTTTGTGACAGTAAGTGGAAGGATTAACAATTACCCAGTAGGCGTCATTTTCTTTTCTGATTTATTTTTGAAGAAAAATCGCTTTTTGCAATCCCCCCCGGGGAGGGGGCGTTCATTGTTCTGCATGTGAACTTGAATATTACTACACTGGTGTAACATTGAGGGTTTGATGCAGAGTATGACATATAGATGACATAATCAACTCTCAGTGTATGAGTTGTAAGAATATCTACTTGTTGAGCAAAGGCATTTCTCAGATCCGTTTTTTTCTTGTGGGTCCAGGTCAGGAAAGAAGTTATTTAAGGAGCTGTGGGTGAGGACTAACAACTGCTGGGACAGTGCTGTTTCTAATCAGAGTATGTGAAAGAGACTTTGAAATCTGCACTTTTAATCCAGGGTGAAAGTGGACTTTAAATCTGAACCTTAAATCCAGGCCACTCTTGATTTTTATCCCCTGTCTCCTTTGTACCTATCCTATGTCTTTTATCCTACCTCAGGACACTGAGAAAATTGGTTTTAATGTGGTAGTTTATGGACAATGTAATAGATTCAGTTGTAGATTTTTTTTTAAAGACTTAAAAGTGTAAAACAAATAAAAATCACCCGGAGTCTCTCCACCTGGCGATCCTCACCACTAAACCAAATTCTTTCATATATATATATATTGGCACTATGGCAGTCGTAACACAGATACACCTAATGTCCTCTTTTAACAGTTAGATAACAGTTGCAAAGTGTCGCATGTGCTGTTTCCTATTCCTTTTGCATTGGGACAGATCCTGAGAAAGTGAGTTGATTGTGAAACCCAGTGAAGTGAGCCACAGCTTGGGGACTCCTTGCAGATGGAACCGCTAGCGGCGAGGGGGACAGTCCAGCAGAAGAGTAAAACGCACCCCAGCAGGAGCTGGGCGACTGCCTGAGCTGCGCCTGGGACTTGCCTGGGGTCCCCTCCAAAAGCAGAGCACTGGAGGCTGCTGGGGGCGGGGCGTGCAGGGCAGCGCCACGGGAAGGGCGGAGCCCGCAAGGTCCCAGACTCTGCGGCATGGGGTGCATGTGGTTCCTGCTGTTGTGGGTGCTCCCGCAGGCGTGGGGAAGCTCTGAGGGTGAGTGGCCCAGGGTGCCCGCGTACTGGCGCTAAAGGGCGGAGAGAGGGAGCGGGCTTGGGACTTAGGGAAAGGCTCCCAGGGAGCTGGGATGAGCCCTGGGCCACGGATCCCGGAGCGCACAAATGCACCAGAGATCGCGGGGTCTCTGGCTCCCGAATCGGTAAGGCTCAGGGTCAGCGCACCCCAGCTGTCCTTCCTGGACTCACCTTCTGCTGTTGTTCCTTCCTCTCCCTGTGCTCTCTGCTCCGTGGTCCACTCGCTGTATTTACCTAGTCTTCGTTTCCCCAGTCCTGTGAAGGAGTGTCCTCTTCCGCTGTCTCCAGATCTCCTCCTTCACTAACAGCAGCTGGATGCGCACTGATGCCTTGGCCTGGTTGGGGGAGCTGCAGACGCACAGTTGGAGCAATGCCTCTGACACCATCAGCTTTGTGAAGCCCTGGGCCCAGGGCACCTTCAGCAGCCAGCAGTGGATCCACCTGCAGAATACATTTCGGGTTTTTCGAAGCAGCTTCATCAGGGACATACAGGAATTCGCCAAAATGCTGTCCTTAGAGTGTGAGTTGAGCGGATGGGATCCTGGGCAGGTGCCACAGTGAGAGAATGGACATGGAAGTCCTGCTGGGAGAGGGATGAGATTGTCTGCTTTCTCCCCCTCTGAGGACTTGCACTTCTGCCTGGCCGGGCCCCAGTTTCAGGCATCAGGCCACCCACTCTCACTTCTGTCCACAGTGGGTCCCCCGGGTATCCCCAGTACCAGTCTCTTCTCCTTCATCCCTTTCAGTCCTTGAAACCTCATTTGAGTTTTGCACGTTTCTCTCCACAGATCCCACGGAGCTGCAGCTGTCTGGTGGCTGTGAGGTGCACCCTGGGAACGACTCAGAACACTTTCTCCATGTAGCACACCAAGGAGAACATATCCTGAGTTTCCAGGGAACTGCTTGGGAGCCTGCCCCACAGGCCCCCCAGTGGGTAGATTTGGTCATCAAAGTGCTCAACCAGAACCAAGGGACAAAGGAAACAGTGCAGTGGCTCCTCAATGACATCTGCCCCCAATTTGTGAATGGCCTCCTAGAGACAGGGAAGTCAGAACTGGAGAAGCAAGGTCAGCCTTCTGTCCTCTCCATCTACCCTATACTCTGACTCCTCTCGGTTTTGCCATCCAAGGGTTTTCTTTCCATTTTTAAAAATTTATTTCATTTCATTATTTTTTGGTGGGTACTGGAATTGAACTCAGAGGCATTCGACCTCTGATCCACATCCCCAGCCCATTTTGTATTTATTTAGAGAATAGGGTTTCACTGAGTTGCTTAGCACCTCACTTTTTTCTGAGGATGGTTTTGAACTCTGGATCCTCCTGCCTCAGCCTCCTGAGCTGCTGAGATTACAGTTGTGCGTCACTGCTCAGTTGGTTTGCTTTCCTTTAAGCATCAGAGAAAGAGCAGGACACAGGAAAGGATGAATAAGTCTTGAGGGTGTATTTTCTATTTATTTACTTATTTATTTATTTTTGCATTACAATTCTTAATACACAATTATTCAATAATTTATCATATTTCTGATTATATATAAGGTATGTTGACATTGAGGGTATATTTTCATATCACCCACCATCATTGAATACCTGCTGGGTTCCATGAGTTGAATTAAATCAAGACTGTGGGTCAGGATTGATTCAGACAATGTTTGAGACATGCTGTGTGCTCCAGCTGAGCTCAGGGTGTTAGAGTAGGGAGGTGAGGCATTTATAGGGCATTGGGATCAGAGGAGGGGAAGGAGTATCAGAGATGGGTCTCCTGGGCAAGGTGACACAAAGGGATCAGAGCTACCTGGAGACTTCACCTCCAGAAGTGGACATTTGGGGAGCATGAACCTGGGAGGAGGCCTGGGACCTCTGATGCAGAGTTCCCACCTTATGCTTTCCTCATCCCTTATTGGATACAGTGAAGCC